GACTAATGTGAGACTGACCCAAGCCGTGGTGTTTTCAGTTGTCTCATATGCATGCAAAAGCTGGACAGTGAGTAAGGAAGACCAAAGAAGAACTGATGCCTTTGAATTACTGGGTTGGCGAAGAATATTGAATATACCATGGACTGCCAAAAGAAGGAATGAATTTGTTTTGCAAGAAGTACAGCCAGAATGCTCCTTAGAAGCAAGGATGGCGAGACTACATCCCACATACTTTGGTCACGTTATCAGATGGGATCAGTCCCTGGAGAAGGACATCATGCTGGGTAAAGTAGAGGGGCAGCGAAGAAGAAGAAAACCCTCCATGAGATGGATTGACACAGTGATTGCAACAATAGGCTGAAGTATAACAACCATCGTGAGGATGGTGCAAGACCAGGCAGTGTTTTGTTCTGTTGTACATAGGGTTGCTGTGACTTGGAACCTCCTTGAGGGCACCGAACAACAACAATATCTGTTTGCACATTGTCATGTATAATGTTGTCAGATATTTACTTGCTTTTTTATAAAAATAATTCATCTACATACTTTCTATAATTTATAACGTATAACAAATAATTATAATAATATTTTATGTTGATAGATTTACCATCGTCTTTGTGAAAGTATAACACTTTGATGATGGTTGTAAAATTTTAAGTTAAAAATCTATAGTGGTGAGAAATGCTAATTTAGTGTGCAAATGCTTTTGACACAAAACTCAGATGTATACTAGTCAAGAATTAGTGGATTAATAGATATTTACTGAGGTCTTACTACTTATGAGGCACTATGCTAATCTCTTCTAATATAAAATATAAGATAGGCCTGTTTAGGACATTATGCATTTGTTGTGACCAGGAATCAAAAGTTAACAGAACACAGTGCATTATCATAATGCAGAAAGGAAGTGTCTGTTAGGTGGTACACTCAAAAAAAAAAAGAAGAGAGATTCATAAAGTGCAAAAGTTATTTAGTGTTACAAACAATAACAGATTACAAATAGATTAAGCTTAAATGGTATGGTGTTACAAATTAAAATCACTTAAAAAATATCTTTAATGTAATAACCTCATTTAAAATCTGGATTATTTCTAGTACCCTCAACTTTTTTTTTTCTTTTTTCTGATTTGTTTTCAGAATGCTCAGGCCCATTGGGAATTGAAGGTGGAATCATATCAAATCAGCAAATCACAGCTTCATCTACCCACCGAGCGCTTTTTGGACTCCAAAAATGGTATCCTTACTATGCACGGCTTAATAAAAAGGGGCTTATCAATGCCTGGACAGCTGCAGAAAATGACAGATGGCCATGGATTCAGGTAACAAATAGGGATGGGACAAAGGAACTGCCAACGAATGATCAGAGCCATTTAAAAAAGAAGACAAATGAGAATCCAGGTTGTGACTCTTCCTCACATTTACAGAGGAAGAGGTGATTAATTGACTCCAAGTTGGCTATAAACTCTAAAACTGAAGGGAACATGCACAATCCTTTGGAAAGTATGTTAAGGTTGTTAAAAAGTTTTAAACAATTCTTGGGGTATAAATACCACTATTTTAAGGTGTATATCAAAGAAGCAGGTTTTTACGTATGCTATGCATTCAGTAACATAATGGTAATCCTTATCAACTTTGGACACTTTAAGGAAGTAAAAATTATGTCTATTCTTTCTCTGTCTCTAAGAAGTGGTTTCACATGTGCAAATTTGAAAAATACGATGGATTATGATAGCAATATCTCAGATGTCGTCAGTACCATCTTTCAGTATCTGAGGGTGTTTAAATTCTTAGTCTCTTAATTATTCTCATCAATTGGCTATTTTTTTTAATAACAGGAGGAAGCAGTGAGATACCAAGGCATTAACTGATTTCTCAAATATGGCATGAATAATAGTAATGCCAGCATCTTATGTATTTATCCACTTAAACACTTTTGAGCACTTAGCTGAAACGAGATACTAAACTAGATATTGAAAGGACAGAGAAGATAATCTAAACATGGTTTCTGTAATTGTTATATCTCTGTTAGGGTGAGCATATTAATAACTATGGAACAAGTCAATGGTATATGCTAAAGAGAAGAAAAGTATAGTATATTCTGGGGGTCAGAGAAAGAAATAATTTATTATTATGAGAAAGTCTCATGAGGATGATAGCATTTGAGTGGGGGCCTTGGGAGAAGGCTTTCAATAAAGATTAGAGGCCAAGGGAACAGCATCAAAGATGATGGATGAGAATCTGGGTAACATCGTCTAGAAAACCATGACGAGTATAAGGTACTGGAGACCAAAACCAAACCCAACCCGTTGCCGTCTAGTCGATTCCTACTCATAGTGACACTATAGGACAGAGTAGAACTGTCTCATAGGGTTTCCAGGAAGAAGCTGGTGGATTTGAACTGCCAGCCTTTTGGTTAACAGCTTGAGCTGTCAACCACTGAGCCACCAAGGCTGCATAGGGTACTGGAGGGATGTATTAAAAAATGTATGATTTAGTGTGTGAGTTTGGTGTGCCTTAGAATTCACACTAAAAGGCTTTGGCCTTATACAATTCACATGAGGTGCTATTGCAGAATTTTGATTAGTTTAGGTGGCTGATTTGGTCTGTTTACTACACATTTTGAGTCAGAGGTAAATTTTGACACGGAAATTCATGACCTGACGTTATTAAGTGTAATGTATAGGGAATGCACTTAACAGAAAAGTGCATTTAATAGAAAAAGATACTGACTTGTGGCCATTTAGCATGATGTCCATACTGTATGAACTAGACCAAAATCTCCTTTAGATACTTCCACTGCTCAATTTATTGTGAATTCTTATATACTATATACATTTTTTAAAGTAGCCCTGGTGGCACAGTGATTAAAGTGCTTGACTGCTAACTGGAAGCTCGGCTGTTCGAAACGGTTAGCAGCTCCAGAGGAGAAAGATGTAGCAGTCTACCTCTGTAGAGATTTACGACCTTGGAAACCCTATGGGATCACTATGAGTCGGAATCGACTTGATGGCAGTGGGTTTTTGGTTTGGTATATACATTTTGTAATCTACACAGTTCCGTGTAGCTACTCATTGTTCTTGTTTTTTAAATTTATGCACATGCATTTACAGAAATGGATTTTTAAATTATACTTGATTTTTCTAAACTATAGTCATATGAGGAGCCCTGGTGGCACAGTGGTTAAAGCACTCAGCTGCTAACCAAAAAATCAGTAGTTTGAACCCACCAGCTGCTGCATGGGAGAGAGATGTGGCAGTCTGCTTCTATGAAGATTTACAACCTTGGAAACCCTATAGGGCAGTTCTACTCTGTCCTGTAGGGATGCTGTGAGTCGGAACTGACTCAATGGCAGTGAGTTTGGTTTTATTTTGTTTCATATAGCCATATGTGCAAAGAAAATTCCAGATAGTGGAAATGTCACATCATACTGTTTTGATCGCATACTAATAATGACCAAATTAAGTTTTAAAATAGACACAGGGATACAAACAAACAAAAAAAGTATGTATTCTATTTGCTAAAAATCATTCTAGAGACATTTTTAATACACACTAATCAACTATTCTGAAATGCATTTTCAGAATTGCTATCATGATAAAACTTTAGAAATTAAAATTTGTAGCAGAAATTGTAGAACAATTGAGAGATGATGAGCCAAGTTGGCATCAAAGTTTCTGTTTGACAGATTATGTTTATGAGCTTCGGTGATTGCTGTCGTTGCATAAAGAATAATTAACATACTTCTACAATGTTCATTCCTAGAAGTACCTTTGCATCCGTATTTCATGTACTGATATTTTTCACTTTACTTTGTCCCAGTTTATCGCCTACTTAACACTAGGCATCATTCTGTCTTTCAAAGTATTTAAGTTGGCTTTATCCTGGTGATTCTAGGGAAAAATTATCACAGTGGAACATGACGGTGGCTGACTCTCAGAGGAATTTAGATTAAATATGACTTTGTTTATTATCTTAACAGGATAATGAAATACTTCTTTTTTTTTACATTAAGGGCAGTGACGTTTGTTTTTTTTTTTAGTCTGAATATGATAATGAACTCTTAGAAAAAAATAAAAGCAAATAAAGGGTTTAATATCAGAGGAATAAATCTCATATGTACTGGGAGGAAAACACCAAAATTTACCATTGTTATTCAGTAAATACTTCTTAGTAATTGTGTCAAGGTATATATTTTGCTCTTGTATTCTTTAATAATATCTTATTTTCTAAGTTATCTTTCTAAAAAGAAAAAGTATATCCATTTATTAAAAGAAACTCGTATGTAAGAAGCTCTGGGGAGTCTAATTATGTAGTAAATTGTCTGTGTTTGAGCATTCATTATTAATTTCCACTGTCACTTGATTTTTTATTTATACTCAGTCCTTCAAAAGAAACGTTTGAGTACTTTGCTTAAACCCGCATATAATAAGCACAGTATTTCCCCTAATCTTTCAGGTGTATGACACACATGCAATAATTAGTATTCAATTTTATTTTCTTCCTTTCCTTGATGAAATGAAATTGAAATTGCTATTTTAAATTTACATGCTCAGCATGCAATTACTGATAGCGCCACTATGCCATAATTGGTTCCAGATTTAAAGGGTTAGTACAATAAATGCAGTTAAACGAGAACATTTTTTTTTTTCCTTTTTAAAATTTCTCTGACCTTTACTTCTTTACCTAAATTTTTTCCAACTATTTAATAACTGCCACATTAAACAAACTAGTTCATTAGCAAACTAGAATACCAGTTACTCTTTCTGTCTGATGTTAGAAATAGCCACTTTTCTGTATGTATGGAAATATGTTTTGTGTTATCACATATAAAAATGTAAAAGCTTATTAAACCTTCTGGGTTCTTTGCTAACTAAAGTCAGTCAGAATGACTACTTGTTATTTATTTTTTATTTCCTTTTTCCTGTGCATTTTTTTTCTTTTTTTAAATCACTGTATGGAGTAACATTTTCATTTTATTATTGTTTCCCCCCCACCCAGGTGTATTGTTTTTTGTATATGCATTCTTATATATTAGATTCTCGGTCATTTATTTATTCATCCACTAAACAAATATTTACTGAATGTCTACTTGTACTCTCCTCTATTGGGCACTAGGGAAAAAATACCATATGCAGGGCCTGGTCTTCCTTGCTCTGCTATACATTTTCATTTGAACCATGATATTCTATTATATAAAAACAAACTATTTTAGTAGAACCTTAATTAAAATAAAAATTACATTAGCTTAATATTTACAGAATATAAGAGGAGAGAAATCCTCAGTATACTATGTATTACATAGCAATATTATTACATGCAGATATCAAATGTATATGGTATACTATAATACTAAGGCAAAGCCGTAATTTTCTTTTGAAAGTTAATTTACCAGTAGTTGTTTCATTACTAGCATTTTATTACTGAGAAAAATGGGTTTTGATCCCTTTCTTTTAAATAATTCATTACCCTTTTAGAAAATGTAGTAATGATATCTATCTATCTATCTATCTATCTATCTATCTATATATATAATTTGTTGTTAGATGCCGTCTAGTCAGTTCCGATTCATAGCGACCGTATGTACAACAGAACTTCAGATTCAGCTCCTTTATTCACTTCTCTAAAAAGTAGTTTCTGGAAGCCCTGCTTCTCTAAGATGGAATTGACTCCACTGTCCCTTTTCTCCTCTTTGCCTACTATACATTTCAGTCACAGCAGCTAAAATAGCTATAGTCATTTATTTACCTTTCTCTCCATGTCCTAGACTGTAAGCAACTTGAGAGCAGGAATTAAACCTGATTTTAGTTTATTCCCATAGTACCTTGAACCAAAAACTATGTTGGACATATGTAGATGATTGACTGATAGAAGGTTAGTGAGTGTTGAACAAAACAGATGGAATAGAAGGACAGTGTTTGTATTCACATGGAAATTAGAATGCACTGAGAGATACTGAGAATGCCCAGACAACTCAGTTCACACTCCATGTTCAGCTGTTGCATACTGATACATTTGAAGTGTGTGATCTAAGCAGAGCCCTGTTGGTGCCAAATGTAGTACATCCGTTGATAATATAAGAAATGCCTTATCCATCTGGGGAGTAGAGGAATCATACTTCCTCCAAATCCCAATGGCTCATATTTTACTGCATGATTACTACAAACCATGTTTACAAGCAACATTAATAGGGCATGGGAAATACTTGTCAGGTGTTGGCCAGAAATTCTGTTAATTAAACCCTATGTTGGAATCAACTCGATGGCAATGGGTTTGGTTTTTTGTTTGGTTCATGTACCATACACAACATTCTTGCCTCCTC